AATACAAGTTACCAATAGTAATTTAGTGTTAATTATGTGCACTATGCACATCATGTTTACCAAGCACTCTTTGCATAATACGTATTGCATAACTCAAAATATGCATATTGCCAGTTATTAATTGTCCGAGAACTCATTTCTAGGCAAACTGAATACACATCTATGCTGTCCGTCCAATTGTACTAATGAAAATTGAGGATTTTAGATCCCGTGAATGATTTGTAGTCAGTGTAATAATTGTTTTTTTAAATACTTTATTCGTTTCGGATCTCTATTACTGTATTAGATTCTGATTTCCTAGCAATTTTTAGATTATCATTAATCAATACTTAAAAAGACAATAATTATCCAATAATTGTAATACAATACCTTTGCATAACTCTCGACTGAGATTTTTAACTTTTTTGCCAAAGATTTACTTGCAAACAATATACATAATAATAATAATAACTAAATAAAAAATAACCGATTAACCCGAGCTGGTTGTTTCAATCGTTAATTCATAGATTCCTGTGTTAATTTACTAAAAATGCTACTATAATGCTATAATACTCTTTTTCGGTTTCTGGTCATTGTTTGTAAACTGTGAATTTAATTACGAATGATTTTGCCACATCACGAGTAATTCATCAATTAATAGTTAATCAACAATGGATGATGTAATCGACAAAGCATCAATTTTAAAACTAATTAGGCATTTCCACACGAATTTCGAAAGATATTTTGGCTTTTATATTATTTTTCACTTACAGTATACATATTAGATATAACATCGACCTAACATATCGCTTTTATTTACGAAGTTTTAGTAATTTATAGCCCTTTTGATTAACAAATTTATTAGTTTGAATTTGACATATTTGGGGGTTTTATCATTATCTAAATGATATAGAAATACCGTTACCAACCCCAAAACCATGCAGCAATGTCACAATTAAAAAAAAAAAAGTTCGTATCGCAACCCCTAGTCTAATGTCAATATGTATGGTTTCAAATCCTTTTCGTTATCTTGAAAATGAGAATAAAATACATGCTTTCTCAAATCTGGCTTTGTTTGAAACGACATATTACAAAAATTCCAGTTGCAAAATATTTGCTCTTCTTGAGTACATTTGCCGGTAAGATTTGGTGAACTAACCACAATTTTTCGAGAAGCGGGGTTAAATGTTGATTTACCCTTTTTATCAGTTGTTTCGAGAAGTTTGGTAGTTGTAGCAATGCTAGCATTTCCATTTAAAGAAGTAAATTTATAGACACCAGAAAGTGTTAATTCATTATCTACTTCTTTTTTGGTGATATTGG